AGGATAGGTGATTTTGGTGCTATCAATCCCACACCGGGATATGCTCAAGCATATCCCGTTCTTTAGAGGGGGTGCGGCCTTTGATGCAATTTTCGCCTTCATAGTGACTGGGGAGAGCTAAGCCATGTACAGTTTAGTGCTCTAGAACTCTCAGACGAAAATGTTAGCACTTAACCAACCCCGAAGGAATGGTGAAGATGGTTGGTATGTTTGTTTGAAGCAGTAATGAAGCAGTATTATCTGCACATGCCTTCCTGTCCTTTAGACGAAATCTGCCATATTCGTAAGTTCGTCAGAAATTGTATAGAACTTCTAATATACCTTTTCGACTGTAATAGATTGGTGGGGCGTTTTTGAAGAACGGAGGTGGTCGTGAGAAGAACTCGCTCATATCAGGATCCTCGAGATCCGGATTCAGCTGCGTCCTGAAATATACCTCTGACCATGAGTCTACTATCCTGTCATCGTACAGCTGCTTTCTTGAGAGGTGGTTTTTTACCTACTCGTAAGTACGTGCAGTTAGATAAAGAAGCTCCCACCCAGCAGCATGGTACAGATTTACCAAATTTCCACTCACTTGATTTGTTCCCACCCCCACTTTGGTGTGTTGTCTTGTTGATACAGTAGGGCAGTGTAGATCTGACTAGCTATCCGACTAGCTCTTCTGTTGAAACGTGGCTAAACATCTCAAAATGCCAGCTTACTATGCATATGAGGACCATACTATAAGCAGTGACAGGTGGTCAGTAGGAGGTGAATTAGTCAGCAGTCCACTGGCGAAGGAAGAGCCAAGAGAACCTTTCGAGTCCGAGAGACCTAGTGACTAGGGAAGGCTGACTGATTCACAAGTGTTCCTACCCTCCCGTGCCAGACTGGTATCACTTAAGGGATCCAGAGCGATTGGTTGCTCTGGGCAAGCACTAACTCAGAAAACGATCTACAATTCGTTTAGAAATTAGTATCCCCGCTACTACGCTAATCTTTGAACACTTCTAGCCCTAATTGGACATTCCTTTTTAAGGGTGGTATTCTATTCCCAGCGCCTGATCGGTTCTTGGGCCTACCGGCTCCACTTTGATACTGACTAAGAGAATATGATGTCAGAAATTATTACCTGTAGATGTCCGGCAAATCATTTTCGAGGTCGATCGATGTGTACTTTCCAGACCTGTTTGGTGAATCTGCCGGCGGCGAAGAAGACGAGGAATTACTTGTTCTTGGTGTTGCCCTTGGTGAAGATGTCGTTTGTGACTCGACTTTTGATAAATGGAGTGCTGCCGGTAACCCGGTAGACGATTGACTGGTTCTCGGTGAGGCCTTCGGCGGGATCGTATCTGGTGGCTCAGCTTTTGTCGGTGACGATGTGCCGTTCGATGCTGTGCTCCGTTTTCTTTGCTGCGAAACTGTATTAGTAATACCAGTAATATCATATGTCGCTCCCACTACAGACATCTTCCTCAATGGTTGTGGTGGGCCTACTTGGGAAATTTTATGAGTAACGTTGAAAACGTCATTTGTTGATCCCATTACAGACATCCTCCTCAACGGTTGTGGTGTGCCAGAACGGGAACTTATCGAAGTTCTTCTCGACGTTGAATTTCTTCTCGGTTCTGGACTTGCAGATACACTTCTTGGTAGTCGTGGACTGGGTGGCATTTTACTACTCTCCCCTTCTGGTCCGACTACCTTTTCGGTTGTTTCCTCTGCTCGATCTGTTTGACCATTAGCTGTTGCGCCGCTGTGAGAGTCCGCCATCCTGGAAAAGAAAATATTCGCGGAATGAGCCATCTGTTTAAGAAGGATATCGATTTGTACTGAAGGAACAAGCCAAATAACAGTGAAAGTCCACTATTTTTGTCTAAAAATTCGTCTGAGGAATTAGTTGTAGATTTTGTTGATTCCTTGGATTTACGCTTCTCTTATAGCAGGCATATAGATAGATAGCAAAAAAAATGAACATTCACTTGCAGAATTGGTGTAGAGGCAAGTGACG